TTATGCGGATGGTTTTTTGAGTATATTCTTGTAGAGAAAATCGAGTAGATCATTTCTAGAAAAAACCCGAACTCAATATTCAAATTCTATCGAGAGGAAAAAAGCTGCGAAAAAATCCGCAATAATTATGCATCAACCTAATAGGTTTTGAAAACTCAACCTCGTAGATTTCGGTTTTCGTTTGTATGGCATCTTCGGACGGTTTAGGCATGTATTGCATCATCTCCTCAATGTTGCTTCCCGACATCGCAGCCACCAGTAGACTAACAACCAACAAATTGAACCTCCCAGTGGAAATGGTCGGTGTGATTAGAGGAAGGACAAAATGAGTAGGCTTCCTCTATCTCGAGCTTCGTGTGGTTGGTCACAAGGGTGGGTTTAATGATAAAATGGTTCGCTTTCTGCACACTACATTTGCTCCCAAGGCTCTTCACTGTTGTCAGGAGACGATTTTCGGTTCACTCAAAGTTCCTGAAAAGCCTATTCGATACTATTATAGAAAGTGTCAAAACTATAAAAAGAGGCGACAAACAAAAAAAGGTTGTGCCCGCTTTCGGGTCATGCGATCTTTGTCGGGATGAAAAAAATAACCAAAAAGCGATGGTGGGTGACCATCACCATCTCTACATGATTGATTTTATAAGCCACATCTACGGAAACGCAAAGGTGTTGTCGAGGAAGCAGAGAATAATACTGGCCGTCAAGAGAATGTCGTAAATGATTATTGGATTTCTTAAGAATGCATCGATGGAAGCGTTCTCCACGAATATTCTTTGCGGCTGACATTGTGTCAGTAAGCTGAACTTCCCATTGTTTCTAGTCGTAGCCACATCGAATTCGCCTGTGATATTGTTCCTAAAAAAAAGCTTCTCATTTTCAAAGACACCTTAACGCTTCGCGCTTGTCATTGTTATGTTTATAAACTGTTCATTTTCTCACAAAGTACCCAGTGGTCGGTTATCTGTTGTCGATTAGCTTCCGCACCTGGTTGAGTTGGCGTGAGAGATAACATTACGGTATACTTTGACAAGTAGGCGAGGTTCGACCCCAGCCTTTCTTAACTGCTTGACCGTGTGTAATGTGCGCAAAATGTTCTCGTTCGCAAACTTGGTGAACCGAGCAGNTTTTATTCACGAAGCACTGCTTTGAAGTTGAGATATGTATGTACTTGTTTATTAAAAGTCCATTTGTTCAATATTCGCAAATTATGTAAGATTTGTGGTAAACTCTGAGAGCCAACTGAAAGAATCTATGATCACAAGAAAGTCCAAACGATAGCCCAGCAGAAAATGGTAGTAGTGATGATGGAAGAGCCTGAAAGTGAGCACGGTCGAAAATACATAGATTCGCACCCACCATTAACACGTGGACTGTAATATTAGAAGTTTAAATCCTACCGTGGCGGTAATCTGCTGCTTTAGTGTCAGAATTGATTCGTGTAGTCGTCGTTTGGATGATAGGGCTCGCTTTAGTGTGCACTTCTTCTTTATGAGTTGTTGTTGTAGTTGGGAGTGTTGAAGTTTGCACTTCTTCCTTATGTGTTGTTGTAGTCGTTGTCGTTGTCGTTGTCGTTGTCGTTGTCGTCGTTGTGGTCGTTGTGGTCGTTGTCGGTTTTGTCGGTTCTGTCGGTGGTCCGGTAGGAGGTACAGGCTCGGCAACCCATTTGGCGATGTTATTTTCAATCAAACTGCGAGCAGCAACGAGATCAGGCAGATCTTCTGGTCGAGCTGGATACATGTCCGCACAGTGAGCTGTTCCTAAAACTCTACACGTTACATATTGACTACTGTATATACTTTATATGCTACTTGTGATTGACGAAAACCAGCAAGTCACTGCTTCGGCTCGCCAAACCAAGCGCTTAGCCAAGTCTTATTATCGTTTTTAGCAGGAAGGACACCATGCTGTCATGCAGGTCGTTCTGGGAAATATAGAGGTGAGGACGAAAGCTAACCCGTAGAGCAGACTTAGAATATGGATAATATCAAATATCCACATTTTAACATTGGAGCGTGCCGTATGTTCCGAGCAAAACATCATTATGAACTGAATCTTTGGCACTATTTACCCTTTACTGCCCCACCTTGTCGAGAATGGGCTGGATTTCTACCGAATTTTTTCAAAGAAGATGAAACCGGCTAGAAACTTGT